CGCGCGTCGTCGGCGTCGACGTGGGTGGGGTGGACGGAGGGCGGTTCGCGGCGCGGGCGCGGCGGGCGCGGGCGGACGCGCGGACGATCGACGCGGACGTCGAGCGGTCGGCGCAGGCGTACGTCGCGGACGAGAGAGAGCTGGAGGCGTTGCGGGTGGAGATCAAGGCGGCGATCGGAGGCGCGCTCGGGACGGAGGATGGAACGGAGAGGCCGAGGGCGAGGTATTATCAAGGCTTGCACGACGTCGCGGCGGTCGTCGCGCTGTGTGATCGTCGAGGCCGGCGTGGACGCGCGAGCGAGGGATTGAGCGCGGCGATAATGGAGAGATTGGTGCTCTGGCACCTTCGCGATCACACGCGGGAGGATTTGACGTCGTCGATGGAGATGGTGTCGACGTGGCTCGATTTGCTCGCGAAAATCGACCGGGAGGTCGCAAAGGTGCTCATGGCGACGCCGCCTTTTTACGCGTTGAAATGGTTCTTGTGCTGGTTCTTGCACGATGTCGATGACCTGGTCGTGGCGGTGCGATTGGTGGACGCGTTCATCGCGTCGCATCCGTGGCTCCCGATGTACGTCGCCGCGGCGCTCGTGATGGCCAACGCGGACGAGATTCGCAAGGCGGGCGCTTCGGGAGACGACATGGACGCAGTCGCGCTGTTGGCCAAGCTCTCCATCGCAAACGCCAACGATTCCACGGACGCACAGCTTGCGACGGTGCAGAAGACGCTCGAAGCGGCGTTCAAACTCTTCGAACGGTACCCGCCGAACGCGACGTTTCGCCCGGCGCGAAACTCGGCGGCGACGAGACATCCGTACCCGTGGGAATCATCGGCGACGAATGCGTACGGGCGCGCACCACTGAGCGTGGAGACGGTACCACACGACCGTCATCGCCGCTGGCCCTTATCCACGATTGACGCCGCCGTGTTCAGCGCGCGCGTGAAGCGCCTGCGCGATCGAGGTTTGCTCCGCCGAAAGCAACCGCTCCCGGTGTCAACCGTCTCGGTCGACGTCCACTCTCTCTTCGCCGTTCTCACCTTCATCGTGTTCGTCACGCTCCGCCAGGCCCTGGCTCGAGCGCTCGGCGCGGTCGATCTCTCGTACGCGCTCGGCGGCTCCGCCGCCGCGGCGACGTCCGCCGCGCTCGGCTTCGTCCGGCTTCGCTCCCCTCGTCCCGTCCTCCCCCGACGCCTCCCTCGCCCCTGACCCCTCACTGGATTCACCCGCGTGTAACGCCCATATTTCACATCCCCGTCCGTCGTCCACGCGATGTCCCGACGCGTCGACATCCGTCGAGCCGTCCCGCCGCGCCGCGTCCCGCTTCACAACCCACCCCTCATGTCTACCACCGACACCGTCGCCCTCGCCCGCGCCGCGCGCGACGCGAGCCGTAAGCTTCAACAACTCTCCAGTGAGCGTCGCGCGGCGCTCTTGCGCGCCGTCGCGAACGCGCTGGAGCGTCGCGAGGATGAGATCCAACGCGCGAACGACGAAGACATGGCGCGCGCGGCGGCGAACAAAGACGTCGAAGACGCGCTGTTACAGCGGCTGAAACTCAAGCCGGGGAAGGTGAAACAGCTCGCCGATGGCGCGCGGGCGATCGCGGCGATGGAAGAGCCGGTGGGACGACCGTTGAAGAGCACGGAACTCGCGAGAGGATTGACGATGACAAAGGTGACGGCGCCGCTGGGCGTGTTGTTGATCATCTTTGAATCGAGACCGGATGCGCTGCCGCAGATCGCGTCGTTGGCGTTGAGAACGGGGAATGGGTTATTGCTCAAGGGAGGGAAGGAGGCGGCGAGCTCGAACGCGAAGCTGCGCGAGGTCATCGTGGATGAGTTTGAGGCGTTCGGCGTGCCGAAGGAGTGCGTGTGCCTGATCGAGGGTAGAGAGGCGGTGGCGGATCTCTTAGCGCTCGACGACGTGATCGATCTGGTGATCCCGCGTGGGTCCAATCAGTTGGTGTCGTACGTGCAGAACAACACGAAGATTCCCGTGCTCGGGCACGCCGACGGCGTGTGTCACGTGTACGTGGACAAGGACGCCGACTTGGACATGGCGGCCAAGTTAGCGATCGATTCCAAGATTGATTACCCCGCGGCGTGCAATGCGCTGGAGACGTTGCTCATCCACGACAGTTTAGTCGCGAACGGCGGCGCGGCGGAGCTCATGACGGCGCTTCGAGCGTCCGGGGTTGAGCTCTTCGGAGGTCCGCGAGGCACGAAGGAACTCAAGCTCCCTCCGGCGCCGGCGCTTCGTCACGAGTACGGCACCTTGCAGTGCTCCGTGGAGCTCGTGGGGTCGATGGACGACGCCATCGACTACATCCACGCCAACGGCTCTGGACACACCGACTGCATCATCACCTCGAACCAGAAGACAGCTGACGAGTTCATCAACCGCGTCGATAGCGCGTGCGTCTTCCATAACGCCTCGACGCGTTTCAGTGACGGATTCAGGTTCGGACTCGGCGCCGAAGTCGGCATCTCGACCTCGCGAATTCACGCGCGCGGACCGGTGGGTGTCGAGGGTCTATTGACGACGCGTTGCTTGGTTCGAGGCAAGGGTCAATTTGTCAACAAGGACAAGGGCGTCACGTACACGCACAAGGCGCTTCCACTGCCCAAGGGCGCGGGCGGACCGAAGCCTAACATGTTTCAGCAACTCGCCGCGACCGTGGCTCTCGCGGCGAACACCGTTATCGTTTTCCGCGCCATCATGAAGAAGTAGGCGCGTCGACGCGAGAAACCAACTTTAAGCGACGCTTTATCCCCTTCTAATACCCAAACTAACCAGTCAGCGATACACAAAACAGCTTGATATTAAACCTATATCGTAAGTAAACAACATCAACAGAGCGAGATTTGCTCCAGCGCGGCGATGCCTTCGAGATGACGGTAATTCTTTTTCAGGATGTCCCACGAATCAGAGATTCTGAAGTCATAGCCGTGTTTGCTCGCCCACTCCTGAACGATCGGGCGAAGTTTGTGCAGCTTGTACCGAGGCATCGTAGGGAACAGGTGATGAATGAGTTGCGTGTCCATTCCACCCCAGAACCATCGCTCGAGCGGATTCTTCACGTCCGCCTCGCGAGTGCTTCGGAACTGAATATCGACAAAGGAGCCGTCCTCGTACATGATTTCCTCGCTCTGGTGCGTGGCGGTGACGAGAGATCCCACGAGGAATCCACCGACCAGCATGGAGCCGATGGCGACCCCGAAAGGAAGGGTACCGAAGAGCCACGCGTAGTGGACGCCGAGCAAAGCGAGCTCGGCCTTGTCCTTGCGCGCCCAAGCGCTCGCCAGGCTGTGGCGACGCCAGAGGAAGTACGTGAACGCGTAGAGCGGGTAGCCGTAAATGTGCTGGAACTTTCTCAGCCAACTGTCCGGGCGGCCGCTCGTCTCGGGAGGGGAGAGGTAATAAAGGGGCTCGAGCTTGATGTCACCATCCTTCCCGTCGATGTTCGTGAACGAGTGATGCATGTTGTGCTTGTGCGACCACCACTCGGCGGAGAACCCATTCGTTAGGGCGCCAAAGCAGCGCATCACGGTGCACCACGAACCGCGTCCGTGCACGTAATCGTGCGCGAGCCAGCCCGCTTGCTGCATCCCGATCCCGATTGAGATCGCGGCCCACACCGGATGCGTCGCCGCGATCGCTTGACCGACGACGTAGCACGCCAACACCTGAGCCAGGACGGAGAGTTCGGATAAGAAGTCTCGTTTGAACCAGCCGTCTCGCTCGAGCATCGATCGAAGCTCCCCGAACTCGGCGTTCGCCACCGTCAACCGCCTCGTCTCTCCGTCTTCCGAATCGGGCGGCGCATCGCACTTCGGCAGCGCTCGCAGGCGTTTTAGCGCCTCGTCCGAGCCGTTGGGCCCGTACGAGTGCAGCGCGTAAAACACGTCCGTCGCGTCCTGCCCGTGCATCAACCGCACGAATCCAGCCCCACCCGGATGCGCCAGCGCCCATCCACTCGCATCATACCACTGTCCATCGATCTTCAACGCGCACGCCGTCCTCCGCTTCCCTCCAACCAGCCGTTCGTTCCGTTCCTCCGCCTGCGCCGCGACGGCGCCGCTCGCGCCGAACGGGCTCAGAAATCCCCATCCCTCGCTCGAGCCCTCCCCCGATCGCGCCGAATCCGTCGCGCGCGCGCGCGTCGGGTCCTTCTCATCCTCCGACTCCGGCGCGCGCACCGCTCGCGGCGTCCACGCGCGCGCGC